TTCCGAATTAAAATTAAAGCGTTTTTGGCTAAGTTACGAATTTTTTAAACTTTGATCGGTCGAAAAAATAGTAGTAAAATATGTAGACAAATACTGACTCAAAGAATGGTATTCTAATTTAAGTCAGAAAATTTTTACATTGTGAAGGAGTCCTTTCTGAGTATGCAGTTTTATTACGCTGATAGTAAACAACGTAGAAACCCTTTCCGAATTAAAATTAAAGCGTTTTTGGCTAAGTTACGAATTTTTTAAACTTTGATCGGTCGAAAAAATAGTAGTAAAAAATTTGGACAAATACTGACTCAAATAATGGTATTCTAATTTAAATCAGAAAATTGGTTCGCTGTGAAGGACTCATTTCTGAGTATGCAGTTTTATTACGCTGATAGTAAACAACGTAGAAACCCTTTCCGAATTAAAATTAAAGCGTTTTTGGCTAAGTTACGAATTTTTAAACTTTGATCGGTCGAAAAAATAGTAGTAAAATATGTAGACAAATACTGACTCAAAGAATGGTATTCTAATTTAAGTCAGAAAATTTTTACATTGTGAAGGAGTCCTTTCTGAGTATGCAGTTTTATTACGCTGATAGTAAACAACGTAGAAACCCTTTCCGAATTAAAATTAAAGCGTTTTTGGCTAAGTTACGAATTTTTTAAACTTTGATCGGTCGAAAAAATAGTAGTAAAAAATTTGGACAAATACTGACTCAAATAATGGTATTCTAATTTAAATCAGAAAATTGGTTCGCTGTGAAGGACTCATTTCTGAGTATGCAGTTTTATTACGCTGATAGTAAACAACGTAGAAACCCTTTCCGAATTAAAATTAAAGCGTTTTTGGCTAAGTTATAAATTTTTTAAGTTTTGATTGGTCCGACAAATTTCATAAAAATGTAGACAAATATTGACTCAAAGAATGGTATTTTAATTTTAGTCAGAAGCTTCTTTCGCTATGAAGGAAGATTTTCCGACCCTATAAACCATATATATTCTTGATCAGCACGATCAGCCGAGTCGATTGAGCCGTCTCCGGCCAAAATCTATTTTTTTTCAAAATCTCCGAAAATTTAAAAATTTTATAAGGGGTTACATCATTAAAATTGCCAAAAATTGGAAAAAAATTGAATCTCTTTAAATGTTAAATTGAGTATGCAGTTTCTTTAACCTGATAAAAACTAGCATTGGAACGCTTTCCGAATTAAAATTGGAGCGTTTTTGGCTAAGTTATGAATTTTTTAAACTTTGATCGGTCGAAAAAATAGTAGTAAAAAATTTGGGCAAATACTGACTCAAAGAATGGTATTCTAATTTAAGTCAGAAAATTTTTACATTGTGAAGGAGTCCTTTCTGGGTATGCAGTTTTATTACGCTGATAGTAAACAACGTAGAAACTCTTTCCGAATTAAAATTAAAGCGTTTTTGGCTAAGTTACGAATTTTTTAAACTTTGATCGGTCGAAAAAAAAGTAGTAAAATATGTAGACAAATACTGACTCAAAGAATGGTATTTTAATTTAAGTCAGAAAATTTTTACATTGTGAAGGAGTCCTTTCTGAGTATGCAGTTTTATTACGCTGATAGTAAACAACGTAGAAACTCTTTCCGAATTAAAATTAAAGCGTTTTTGGCTAAGTTACGAATTTTTTAAACTTTGATCGGTCGAAAAAATAGTAGTAAAAAATTTGGGCAAATACTGACTCAAAGAATGGTATTCTAATTTAAGTCAGAAAATTTTAACATTCTGAAGGAGTCATTTCTGAGTATGCAGTTTTATTACGCTGATAGTAAACAACGTAGAAACTCTTTCCGAATTAAAATTAAAGCGTTTTTGGCTAAGTTATGAATTTTTTAAACTTTGATCGGTCGAAAAAATAGTAGTAAAAAATTTGGGCAAATACTGACTCAAAGAATGGTATTCTAATTTAAGTCAGAAAATTTTAACATTCTGAAGGAGTCATTTCTGAGTATGCAGTTTTATTACGCTGATAGTAAACAACGTAGAAACTCTTTCCGAATTAAAATTAAAGCGTTTTTGGCTAAGTTACGAATTTTTTAAACTTTGATCGGTCGAAAAAGTAGTAGTAAAAAATTTGGACAAATACTGACTCAAAGAATGGTATTCTAATTTAAGTCAGAAAATTGGTTCGCTGTGAAGGAGTCATTTCTGAGTATGCAGTTTTATTACGCTGATAGTAAACAACGTAGAAACTCTTTCCGAATTAAAATTAAAGCGTTTTTGGCTAAGTTACGAATTTTTTAAACTTTGATCGGTCGAAAAAATAGTAGTAAAAAATGTAGACAAATACTGACTTAAAGAATGGTATTCTAATTTAAGTCAGAAAATTTTTACATTGTGAAGGAGTCCTTTCTGAGTATGCAGTTTTATTACGCTGATAGTAAACAACGTAGAAACCCTTTCCGAATTAAAATTAAAGCGTTTTTGGCTAAGTTATAAATTTTTTAAGTTTTGATTGGTCCGACAAATTTCATAAAAATGTAGACAAATATTGACTCAAAGAATGGTATTTTAATTTTAGTCAGAAGCTTCTTTCGCTATGAAGGAAGCATTTCCGACCCTATAAACCATATATATTCTTGATCAGCACGATCAGCCGAGTCGATTGAGCCGTCTCCGGCCAAAATCTATTTTTTTCAAAATCTCCGAAAATTTAAAAATTTTATAAGGGGTTACATCATTAAAATTGCCAAAAATTGGAAAAAAATTGAATCTCTTTAAATGTTAAATTGAGTTTGCAGTTTCTTTAACCTGATAAAAACTAGCATTGGAACGCTTTCCGAATTAAAATTGGAGCGTTTTTAGCTAAGTTATGAATTTTTTAAACTTTGATCGGTCGAAAAAATAGTAGTAAAAAATTTGGGCAAATACTGACTCAAAGAATGGTATTCTAATTTAAGTCAGAAAATTTTAACATTCTGAAGGAGTCATTTCTGAGTATGCAGTTTTATTACGCTGATAGTAAACAACGTAGAAACTCTTTCCGAATTAAAATTAAAGCGTTTTTGGCTAAGTTACGAATTTTTTAAACTTTGATCGGTCGAAAAAATAGTAGTAAAAAATTTGGACAAATACTGACTCAAAGAATGGTATTCTAATTTAAGTCAGAAAATTGGTTCGCTGTGAAGGACTCATTTCTGAGTATGCAGTTTTATTACGCTGATAGTAAACAACGTAGATACTCTTTCCGAATTAAAATTAAAGCGTTTTTGGCTAAGTTACGAATTTTTTAAACTTTGATCGGTCGAAAAAATAGTAGTAAAAAATGTAGACAAATACTGACTCAAAGAATGGTATTCTAATTTAAGTCAGAAAATTGGTTCGCTGTGAAGGACTCATTTCTGAGTATGCAGTTTTATTACGCTGATAGTAAACAACGTAGAAACTCTTTCCGAATTAAAATTAAAGCGTTTTTGGCTAAGTTACGAATTTTTTAAACTTTGATCGGTCGAAAAAATAGTAGTAAAAAATGTAGACAAATACTGACTCAAAGAATGGTATTCTAATTTAAGTCAGAAAATTGGTTTGCTGTGAAAGACTCATTTCTGAGTATGCAGTTTTATTACGCTGATAGTAAACAACGTAGAAACTCTTTCCGAATTAAAATTAAAGCGTTTTTGGCTAAGTTACGAATTTTTTAAACTTTGATCGGTCGAAAAAATAGTAGTAAAAAATTTGGACAAATACTGACTCAAAGAATGGTATTCTAATTTAAGTCAGAAAATTGGTTCGCTGTGAAGGACTCATTTCTGAGTATGCAGTTTTATTACGCTGATAGTAAACAACGTAGAAACTCTTTCCGAATTAAAATTAAAGCGTTTTTGGCTAAGTTACGAATTTTTTAAACTTTGATCGGTCGAAAAAATAGTAGTAAAAAATTTGGACAAATACTGACTCAAAGAATGGTATTCTACTTTAAGTCAGAAAATTTTTACATTGTGAAGGAGTTCTTTCTGAGTATGCAGTTTTATTACGCTGATAGTAAACAACGTAGAAACTCTTTCCGAATTAAAATTAAAGCGTTTTTGGCTAAGTTACGAATTTTTTAAACTTTGATCGGTCGAAAAAATAGTAGTAAAAAATTTGGACAAATACTGACTCAAAGAATGGTATTCTAATTTAAGTCAGAAAATTTTTACATTGTGAAGGAGTCCTTTCTGAGTATGCAGTTTTATTATGCTGATAGTAAACAACGTAGAAACCCTTTCCGAATTAAAATTAAAGCGTTTTTGGCTAAGTTATAAATTTTTTAAGTTTTGATTGGTCCGACAAATTTCATAAAAATGTAGACAAATATTGACTCAAAGAATGGTATTTTAATTTTAGTCAGAAGCTTCTTTCGCTATGAAGGAAGCATTTCCGACCCTATAAACCATATATATTCTTGATCAGCACGATCAGCCGAGTCGATTGAGCTGTCTCCGGCCAAAATCTATTTTTTTTCAAAATCTCCGAAAATTTAAAAATTTATAAGGGGTTACATCATTAAAATTGCCAAAATTTGGAAAAAAATTGAATCTCTTTAAATGTTAAATTGAGTATGCAGTTTCTTTAACCTGATAAAAACTAGCATTGGAACGCTTTCCGAATTAATATTGGAGCGTTTTTGGCTAAGTTATGAATTTTTTAAACTTTGATCGGTCGAAAAAATAGTAGTAAAAAATGTAGACAAATACTGACTCAAAGAATGGTATTCTAATTTAAGTCAGAAAATTTTTACATTCTGAAGGAGTCATTTCTGAGTATGCAGTTTTATTACGCTGATAGTAAACAACGTAGAAACTCTTTCCGAATTAAAATTAAAGCGTTTTTGGCTAAGTTATAAATTTTTTAAGTTTTGATTGGTCCGACAAATTTCATAAAAATGTAGACAAATATTGACTCAAAGAATGGTATTTTAATTTTAGTCAGAATGACTGTTTTGGCGAGAAGAACTTTGCTGCATGTAAAATATTTAATTTATTAAACATAAAAAAGGGATACAAAAAGACAAGAATATTGATTTGTGACAAATGAACGAGTAAGACGACGAGAATACAAACATAATTTCCATGAACACATAATTTGGATATACCTAAAGGTAAAATGAGATTAGTATTTTTGTATTGACTAGAGGGTTTTACAATATTTACTATAACTTAAAATTCGATCTCCAAATGGGAAATCGTTTTAAATGCAATTAATACTATGAATTGGTAATCAAAATTGACTAGTCCTCCTTCGGTAAGGCGGCGGCGTTGGGTTCCCAGTTTACGCCATCGTGCGGCAAATCGCTGCGCACAAAGGGCGACAGCCAGGTAAGATGCATCCGCTGGCCAAGCACCATCTCCAGATTGCCCTTCAGGCCGCGATCGTACTTCCTGGTACCACGCTCCCTCGTCACGGACCCGTTCTTGATGATCGACCAGTGGAAGATTAGCAGCAGGGATGATATGCCGAAGGCCAGCAGGGTGAGATCGTAGATGACCACGTAGAAGCTCTCCCAGCTGGGGTACAGCATCAGACTAACCATCGGAGCGAACACATTGAAGAGCGTGGACCACTGCCAGTATACATCCAGATGAAGGTGCCAAAGGTAGATGCTCTGCGTGACAGTTGCCACGAAGGATCCAATGATCATGTACACCAAGTAGAAAAAGAAGTACCGGTAGTTGTGGTGCCCGATGCAACAGCAGGTGAACCGGCAATGGTGATCCCGCTTCAGAATGCACACGTTGCACACCTCACAGTGCCAGGAGCGGGGCGGCACCAAGGTCTGGCAATCATGGCACATGTGCCACCGGGCCAGCTGTCCGGGCTCCACCGGTGGCTTCAGCAGTTCCACTGTAAATCAATAAAGTAACGTTAAAGCTAGTCTAGGAACAATCTGATACTCACTTCTTATACTGGTGTCCACCAGCATGCAGGCCAGCATGTTGGACGTCAGGTTGAAGATGAGGAATACACTGGCAACCCACAGCACCGTGTAGCAGACGCCGCCGATGACAAACAGCTCCGGCAGCACGATGACGATCTGGAATACGTATGTCACCGGCACAAACACAGCCACCAGCAGAAAGGCTGCAAAATCCGACAAGGAACGGGGCCTAACTCGGTCCCAGGAGCGCAAAATCATTTTATTCCCGTTATTTGTCCTGAGTTTTGTTTTCCTTTATCGGTTTTTCTTATCGATTACTGATAGCCCGTTTTGGTGGGGCCAGCTGTCGAAGGGCCAGCCAAAATAAGCTAAGTTGGCAGCACTATTGTTATTGGTGCAATGGTTTATGAAATTCGAAACGTTTTTTGCTGACAAAGAGCTATTTTCGGGTTCGACATGGAGCAGACCATTAAAATGGAAGTGAAAATGGAAAGGGCAGAGCCCCGGGACGAGAACGATCCGACGCCTCTGCGAGAGAGGGTTGAGGAATCTTCTCCACATGCCAGCGCCTTTGAGGCCGACGCCTCGGTGTCGAAATGTGGATGGGACAGCGATCTGGAGGATATAGCACTTCCACCAACTCCGGGCGCCACATTGCAGGCCACTGAGCCCAAGGATGAGTTCAAGATGGACCCCGAACAAGTGCTGCTGGATGAACTTTTGAACGATTTTCGAAATATTGACAAAGTAATGCCAAAAGTGAAGCTGGAGGTGTGCGATCCGCCTCCTCCGCCTCCCCCTCTTCCTTCTTCTCTTTCTTGTCCTCCTTCTCTTCCTCCTCCTCCTCCTCCTAATTCCTCTTCTTTACCCCCCTCTAACTACGTCCTGGATGGCATTCCCAGCGCTTATACGGCCCGCGACAACCTAGAGGATATGGATTTGTGCAGTCTTGGGGACGCGGACAGCGATGCCGAGCTCATGTCCGAAAAGATGGAGATCCTCCGGAAATTGGCCATAGTGAATGAGGTCGATAAGGAGGGCAGTGACGAGCACAAGAAAAAGAAGAAGAGCAAGAAAAGGAAGCGCTCGCATCGATCGGGCAAAGATAAGGAGGAAGAGGCTGAAAGTAAGAAGCGGCCGAGGAACAGCAGTTCCCCGGACGAGTGTCAGAAGGAGAACAAGAGTAGTAAAGGTCACCACTGGCCCGGACGTCGCATTAAGCCCGAAAAACCAGATCTTGATTATGTTCCAGTGCGAGCCGAAGAGAAGCGTCTGCGCGTCGTCAAGGCGTCCAATCTCCTCGAGAGTCAGGCGCCGAAGGTTGTACACAGGATAGAAAATCTTTCAATACACGACAAACGCCAACGGGGCGTGGCTCGGGCCAAACTGGCCCTAGAGCTGTTCCAAAAGAAGGCCAACAAGGAGGATGATCTCGAGGCCCTAATGGTGGACACGATGTGCATGCTGCCCGTTCACGATTCCTTTCGCAACCAAAACGGCTTTGAGAATCCTTCGCCCCTTTGCAACAACATGAACGTGGTGTACGAGTTCAACTCGGCGCCCGGGACACGCATCGATTTGGCCAAATGGGGCTTGGAAGTACTGCCCCATCCGATAAGAAAGCTGTGCCGCATCCTGGGCATTGATATACATCGCTTGAAGGAGCTCCAGAGGACGGCAACACCATCGCAGCGCATACTGAAGCTGAAGCAGGAACAACTAGAGCAGGGAGTGGGCTCCGAGGAAGCAGCAGCGGATAAGGCGACGCTCTATAAGAATGCTGCGACCCAAACGAATTGCCAGACTTCCACGCACGAGGCTGGGATCCAGGTGCGCATGGAGGCTCCACCTAGGGGTTCTACCTTCTGGCAGAAACCCGCATTCAACGCAACAGAAATGACTCAGCAGCAGTCCAACGTAATGTACGCCCTGCAGGAGCTCAGTAAAGCTATTCCGGATGCCACCATGGCCGAGACTCTTTACAGAAGTCTGGGCCCGGCGCTGGCCATCAGTCGCCATACCTCGCGCCAATCGAATTAAGGTTTGACTTTACATTTGCCAATTATCTTTTATATTCTCTGGGTTTATTTATAAATACATTGCCAAAAATTACTATAAATGTCCAATAGTTTTAAGGACCGACCAGGAGTGCCTTATAATCTTAGGTTGAAATACGTCAGTTAATTTCTCGAATATATATATATGAATCTCTTGCAACGCAAATGCCAAAGTGGCGTTCAAGGCCACAAAACTTACGACAAATCGAATTAATAGATGTATAACTACCATCTCTCGCTCATTGTATTACTCTGTTTCTCACATATTCTTTGTACAATTAATAAATACACATACATTAATAACAAGTAATAGAACGATTTGTGTGTGTGTCTTTTGCTAGAGTATAAGTAGTTGGAGGCAACCCCCAGGGGCGATTCCAGAGTTCCAACAAGGTCCTCTTTAGTGGCGTCGATATACTCATGTCACCCCCTCTCTAGTTATTGGCTAAATTGCACTAAAACTAATTCGTAACTATAAGCGTAGGCTAGTAGAGAAGATTGTATCATTTGCGCACTGTAAACACGAACGGGGCCGACTCCTCCTCCTCTTGCTGCTCCAGCAGCGTGGTTCTAATCGTGGTCCTATGCTCCTGGGCCTCCACATCGTCATAGTCCACCGAGGAGGAGCGGAGAAGCTGGAACTGTGAGTTGGAATCGTTTCGGGTGATGATCAGCGAAGCGGGTCGAGGACCTGTGAATATATAGAGAGATTTGATTTAGTAACAGAAGAGATATTATAGCACTTAGACTTCACCTGGTGGCGGCTTGGTTGTCAAGCGCTTGACACTGCTACCTCCACCCTGAAGGACCTCCGGCTGCTGCCGCTCGGAAACATATTCCACATTTGGTGTCAGCTTGTTGGTACTAATATTATTATTACTGCTCGCCGTTTGTTGGATCGATACCCGCTTGTCGGCCTTGACGCTGCCCTGCTGCTTCAATATGGAATCGCGACCCAATGGCGGCGGTTGCATGGCACCTGAGGAGCCGCCGCCCAGCAATGGCGTCGTCATTGCAGACCCCATGGCACTTGGCGTGTCGAGTTCTAAAAATCATACGGATGATGGGGAAGAGATTTAGTTAGGGATCTCTGGGAGGGGAAAGATGACAAAGACCGCTCCCAAATCGAGGCCCGGAGATGTAGGGAAACCAGGTGAGGATATAAAGCAACCATTGGACTCAGAACAGAGGGGGTTAAAGACAAAACACACAGCAAGAACAACATAAGGAATAAAATGCGTAACATGCTAATTACCAAATATTTCCGGTAACAAAGCAATATAATTGGATGGCGTTACGCATTTTACTAATTATGTATTCTTTGCACACACAGATAGTAAGAAAGCTGAATAAAATGCAAGTGGAGACGAGTTGTTCATAAGATTTATCGTTTATTTGATGCTTCATCATCATCTCTCGCTGGGGGATAGTAGACATAGATGGTTTAGTGGGGGTGTACCAGAGTTGGGATTGCAGGAATACCATTAGGTTGGTTAGTTGTTCATGTTTCGTGGTGGGATTCACAATTTTAAATGTTGCAAATAATTAATAATAATAATCTTAGGTAACAATTGGAATGATTTTTAGTAGTAATCGCACAACTCAAATATTAGTTTCTCTTGATATTTGTAAAGCCAAGGCAAAGCAAAAAGTAAAACAAAAATGGATGATATGGTTTGGTTTGTGGGTTCCCTTGGTCCTCGGGTCGGGTTTGTCAGACTATAAAATGTATATACTAAGTTTAGTTAATAATACTTAAGCGCGGCTACCATGCAGCTTGATTCGTATTTTCGCATTTCGCTCGGGTAAATCACAGATCACCCCGAAAATCCCTCTCACAGCTTGGTGTCATCGTAGTTCTGTTCGCCGGAGGTATTGGGTATGACCACCACCAGGGGCAGGGGCAGGCTGCTAGCTGGCTCGTTCAGCAGCTCGCTACTAATCGATATCTGGCGCGATGCCCGATGATGATAACCACCGCCACCATTATAACCAAACACCGAATCAACATGCATTAGATCGAGAGTGCTCCCGCTAAAATCGTTATCATGATCGTTACCGTTGCCCAGGTGCTGATGGTGCCCACCGCCACCGCCAACCATCGAACCGCCGCCGCCACTGCCCACCAGAGTGCTGAGACTCTGCAGGGAATGCGAGCTGGCGCTTCGATTGTACTCCGCATGCAAGTACTTGTTGTTATTGTTGTTGTTGTTGGTGGTGCTGCTGCTGCCACTGACCCCATACTGCTTGAGGTCATCGGAGGGAGATCCGAACTCGGATGACTCGCGTATGGGTGCTAATTGCAGTTGTGCGGCTGCCGCCAACATCTCACCTGTGGGACTCGGTCGTTCGCTACTGTTGGCCACATCCTCGTAAGCCTCCTCGTTCAAGGTCTGCAGCGTGCCGCATATCATTTGCTCCTCCAGGGTGACCTAGGGATCAATAAAAGAGAAGTAGCATTACTAGGGATGTATATAAAAAGGGAAACGTCTATCTGTAATGGGTTTTGTGGGCAGTCTGCTGAGTGTGTCTCTTGTTGAGCTGAGCTCTTTACCTGCAGGTATTCGTAGTCATGAACTTTTGACTGCATTTTTTTAAAGGAATGATCGGTACAAGAATAGATCAAAAAGCACATGAGTTAGAGCAGAGAGTTAGAGTTACAAGAATCGAATGCCTTTATCCCCTTGTATTCTCCTTACCTGCTTCTCCATATGACTAACAGAATTTTTGCGCGACAGCGACTCTCGCGGTGGCTGCATCAGGGCATCCGTTACATCCTTGATCATTGGCACACTCGTTGGTGGCGCCTCCAAGGCGGCAGTCTGCTGCTGTTGCTGCTGCTGGCGTTGCTGCTGCTTCCTGGGCAGGCGCTCGCACTCACGCAGCGTGGTGATCAGCAGACGGAACAGCTCCCAATGGCCAAAGCTCAGGCCCAGAACCTAAGAGGGAGAGTAAGCAATGAATTAATAAAGTAGTCTGAAGTTTGCAGGACTCTTTTCCTACTCTTAAATATATTTTCGCATACCGATTTGAGATCCGGCATATCACAGTGCTTCAGGACACGTCCATTGATCGCATTCTCGCGCAGCACAGGCGCTAACTTGGCCAAAGCTGGCTTCATGTCCTCTATCCGCTCCAGCAGACTGATGACACCTTCGGTTGTTAGGTCCGTTAGCTTGGTCTGCAGGATGTCGTCCTAAAAAAGCAGCTCATTAAAAATGCAATCCTTTCATTAAAAAAGCTATTTAAAAACCTACACCAAATGAATCACTAGGCGAGGTAATTAGTGGCGTGACAGGCTCTGTACTTGTGCTGAGATTCCTGGAGCGCAGCTCGTTGTTGACCGAAGGATAATCGTTGTGGAACATCTGGTAAGGCGGATAAGCCTGCGGCGAAGGCACATAGGTGGTGGGCGCTGGATATTGACGCGTATTGTTCGACACGCTGGGTCTCGTTTGCAGCACCAGAGAACCCTCATCCTCGATGGTTTGTTGATCCTCTAAATAAGGTTTTATCTTTAAAACTGAATGCTTTGGATATGATTGTTATGAAAACTCACCCTTCAAGACCTTCCTCAGGTAAGGATCCAAGTTAATGGTGAAGGGCAGAAAGATGCGCAGATCCGCCACCAGAAGATCAGACTTGTGCAGCTGCAGGAAGGCATCCAGCTTACGCTCATCACGATCCAGCTCCAAGAGCGGAGCAGCTTCCCTCAAATAGGCCAGTTTCGGACGTAGTCTGGAGCAGATTTTAGAAATATAGACAATGGAATATATATTTTTTAAGCACTACTCACTTCTCGTAAACACTCTGCAACGATACACTCTCATCCGAATTGCTGTCCATGAACTGATCGTGATGCAGGACTATCATACTGGCCCTCAGTGGCCACTGCTCCGTCAAATTGATCCAGGAACTGAGGCGATACCAACTGAAGTCGATCTGGAAGGCCTTAAGCAGGCGCACCGTGATATAGATCACATTCATCAGGCGTCGCATACTCCGCGGATTCACATCGCTGAAGTAGTCATCTGTAAGTACAATCCGCGAGAGATCCAGCACAGTCTGAGGATTCTGACCAAGGCGATGCAGATTCGAGCCCGTGGAGCTGGCAACCGACTCGGAGAGACGCAGTTTCTTGCCACCACCACCACGTCCTGGTCCACGTAGCTTCTCCTGGCTGGAGATGATCTCCGATGCATTGGACAGCCGCCGGGCGGAGACAGAGTGACCCAGAGTGGGGCCGTCGTCCGTCTGGTAGTCACCGCCACCACTTCGCTTGAACAACAAAGCGGTCATTTGAGCACGTTGGACCTTACGGAGTCCGGAGTTTTGCAGGTAAACGGGGAGATGCACCAAGTTACGCAGGAAGTCATGGCCTCCAATTCCACCCTCCGTGAACAGCCGACGACTATTGGCCTCGGCTGCCTTGGCAATGACATGAGGATCCACTGAAATGAGCAGCACAAAGGGACGATTCGGTGAGGAGAGCAGCGTCTGGACAGCATTGAGCAGAGTGAGAATCCTCTCGGTGTCGCACGAGTCCAGGGCATCAATCACACCCACCAGGCGGCTCTGCTGATTTGTAAAGGCATCCAGACATTTGACCATATCCGTCATCACGGCCACCTCGGCTCCTAGCATGGTCAGGGGAGCAGTCTCGCTGGAGCGAACCGCCCGCTTCAGCAGCCGGATGTGCGAGGTGAACAGGGAGACGCAGACCTTGGCCAGCACATGGAGGTGCGTGCAGATGAGCGTGCCCAGGACTGCAGCTATCACATAGAGCACGACGAGGATATCCTCCTTCTCCTCCTTGCTGGCAAACGTAAAATAGGCGACGATCAAGGAGATGCCAGTGACCAGGGTGATCAGAGCCAGTTCGAACACGAGAACGATGGGTATACAGCACATGCGACGCCAGCGCCAGCCCACGTCCACCTTCAGGCACTTGGGACGGAAGGCCCTGTACAGCCGAGTGGCTAGCCAGCCGTAGTGCGATTCAATGGCGTCCAGGAGAGACGCCAGCATATGAGCCACTGCTCCGTCGCCCGTGGGCGAGGCACTATTAGCCTCCGCAAAGTGAAACCTTACTGGCTTCGCCTGCGAGTCCGATTGCGGTCCCGGCGGATGGCAGAAGGCCACCTGCAGTATCACTCTCAGCCGGGTGATCCTCTTCTCCAGACCGTGCTGCACCGAGTAGGCCCACTGCATATCCATCTGGTAGTTGCAGTACTTGACGCCAGCTAGGAGCAGGTAAGCGAGCAGCAGGAAGCCAACAGCAGCGGAGACGCCCACCACAGCCGACCAGGTACTCAGGCCCACAATCGTGCCAATGAGCAGGGCCACATGGAGGCAGACAATGAAGAGCAGGCCGCTGGTCCGAACCGGGGGCTCTGCCCACTGGCGGGCAAAGTTATTCATCTCGTCGCGCAGCTTGTTCAGCAGAAAACTCTTTCCGCTGCCCCACTTGGCGTACAGACCCACTGTAATGGGCGTTGTTAGAGTGGGTTCGCTGAGCACATCCGCCAGAGCCGAGGAGTACAGCTCGTAGCCGAGCATGCCTTCCGAATCCTCGTTGGTATTGAGTCGTCGGGCTCCGAAGACCTGACCCAATATGGTCTTTTGGTGCAGGGAGTCGAGGTTGTACGGCGTTTCTCCCGCCTTATTGGCTCGGTACAGAAGCTGGCTGTGCTTGGGGTTACGCAGGAGAGCCTCCACAATGGCCTTGCTCCTTGCTCTCATGGCAATGTGCAGGCAGGTGTCGCCCCTCTTGTCGCTGGCCGTCACCTTTGCCTTTCTGTCCAGCAGCAGGTGAACGATCTCCAGATTGCGATTTCTCACAGCCCGCAGCAGCGGTGTATCGCCATCCTTGGTGGCGGACTCCAGGTCGGGATTTGTGGCCAGCAGCAGCTTCACAATCGGCGTGTGTCCCTTCTCAACAGCGGTGTAAATGGCCGTCTTGCGATCCTTGCCCTGAATATCCACATCGGCATGTTTCTTGAGCAACGCCTCTACTACTGTACGGTGGCCAGCCTTCACGGCATGGATGAGGGGCGTATCCGCACCACGATCCTGGATATTAATATATGCACCGGCTGCTATAAGGGAGGCGGCTATATCCTGGAATCCCTCACGACTAGCTATGCATAGGGCCGTCATTCCATCCTTATCCAAAGCATTCACATTCGGTTTCTTCTCGAGAATGGAACTAACGCAATCGGTGTGGCCACCAGCGGCTGCCACCAGGAGTGGCGTCCACGAATACATGCCAGCGGTGTCCACATTGGCGCCTGCCTTAACCAGCGTGTCCACAATCTCCACATTGCCGCGACGACAGGCCCAAACAAGGGCTGTTGTTCCATATTTATCACCAACATTGACCTTAGCTCCGCGTTGTACCAACAGTTCCACAATGTCTTTGTAGCCACGTCCCGCCGCCCACAGCAGGGCTCCCAGATGGTAGTTTCCATGGGCATTGCCATCCGCTCCCTTGTCCAGCAGCAGACGCACTAGCTCCGTGTGTCCCCGATAGGCGGCCCACATCAAGCTGGTCCAGCCACCCTGAAAGAAGTGTAAGGATTAGCTTAATTATGGAGAGGACTTTGGGGTTTAACTACTCACCATATCACGATGCTCGATCTCAGCGCCATGATCTAGTAAAAGTTGAACCACATCAAAGTGTCCATTACGAGAGGCGCACAACAAAGCTGTCCAGTTATCCAAATCCTCAGCCTGAACGTCAGCACCGCGAGCCAGAAATTCACGAACAAAGGCTGTGAGTCCACGTCCTGCCACTACCATTAAGACTGTGGTGGAGTTCTGCAAGAGATTTCGAATGTTTAACCATAGTTTTAATTCATTTAAGTCCTAGGTAGCTTAAGGATCTGTTGGTCAGTATCCTATATACCTTTAAAGTTTAAACAAAAGTATATTTTAGTTTCCTTTAAATTAAGGAATAGTTAAGGATCTCACCTCATCCCGATCATCGATGGTAAGATGTCGGCTGTCCAATATAGCACGCAGTCCAGAGATGTCATTATTATCGATGTACTGCAGCAAGGCACGATGTCCCAGCGAACCCATGGAGTCTCCGTAGCGATTGATGTTCTATATAAAACAATACTTTATTAATATACTGTCTTAAAAAGTTAATAAAATTTTAATAAATGAACCAAACAGAACGCCATGCAAATAATAATTTGTAGATTTTATTTTAGGCAAAATGGGTTCCGATTATTCGTGTTACAAAGCAATTAATAGAAAGAAACTCTTTGGGGGAAATACAACAATTAGAGACCTTCAATATCTCTCCAGGACATTTGCATTGCATGCTTAAACCGTAAAGTAACCACAAAACTTGGGCCAGAAGGCTCAGTAATTATTCTTACACGTACAGAAATAATTGTTTATCTTAGTGCTATATAACATTTGTGTCCAGTTAAACGATTTTTGAGTCATCGAACATCAATAAATTAATTAGTTATGTGGGTTATAAAAAAGCCAAACAACCACCAACCAACGCAATAATTGTGAAATAATCGCTTCTCCAAGAAATCAGTATACAAAGCTGGGTAACTTTATGGTCTTCTAAAAATATCTAAAACGAATAGAAGTACACGCGTGGGGGTAATCCCTGGAACTGATATCTCAGAACACTCTACAACGGACATCATCTTTGATCTCGTAAGTCTCTAGCAAATAGATACTCATCCGGTAAGCGCTGGAGTTATGTCAATGATGATAACGTCACACAAGATTGTCGTATTATTTGTTATTTGAACAATTGCCAGGCATTTGCCGGCACGCATTGCAGTAGCTTGGCTTTAATTTATTTGTTTATTCTAATTAATATCATTGAATCTCCGGTCTTTGTGGAGGCTGATCAAATGTCTGCTCGTTCGATTGGATCAATAAAAAAAGGTACAATAATAATAACAAGACAACAATCTTGTTTATTGGCCAGACAAAGTCGGTCTTGCTCTATTCGGGATTTATAGACTTCGCCTTTGGCTTTGGGTTTCATTCGAAGGTGTCAAAATGCATTGGAGCGTAACGAGGGGGTCTTACGGTACAGTAAATACAAATTGGTAAACAAAGTTACCGCTGAAACCGACTAAATATGTTAGATCTAATTGCTATTTTGCAAGCAGCACCCTAGAACGAGTCAAATAATGGCGTTTTAAAAAAAAGTTGGTATCAGTAAAGACTAGAAATAGATAGAAATTAGATTAGTCTAGATAGCTCCTCCGATTTACGAGCTGGCTGCGTGAGTAAATTTTCATAGTCTGGAGTATGTTTATTTATATAGTTTATCTATGACCTCCGGCTTTGCACGGGTATTTCCTTACCTTAACTAGGGGAACATTATGAATTATCCATGAAAGATGTGACTAATTTAATGTTGTGCTTATGTTAACATAAATTTGTTTGTTATTTATACAATTTCCTTTTTAATTTAAGACGTAGGAACATTTATTACAGCTGATTAGTATTTATCTAAAATTATAATCAATTTTTTAGCTGACATTTATCCACAATTTTTACTAAAAATCAAAGTTTATAAATTTCATGACTAAGCCAAAAAAGCATTAATTTTAATCCGGATAGCTTTTCTGTGCTAGTTTTTATATGGATAACAAATCTGCATATTCAGTTTTAAAAGTATACAAATTTAAATTTTTGTCAAATTTTAAAAATTGTATCCATGTAAAATTTTGCATAAAAAAAAATTAAAATTAAAAAAAAAAATCAATTTCTTCCGGATGTAGCTAGATTGGATCGCCTTTTAATGCTGATCAAGAATATATATGATTTATGGGGTCGGAAATGACTCCTTCACAATTTACAAACTTCTGACTAAAATTATATTACTCTGCAAGGGTATAAAAAAAAAGAAATCAAATCCAATGATTTACTAAACTTTGTTATTTATATTTTATTGTCTTTAGTTTCTTTGGTTATATTAATTTTTTATATATTAATTATTGAAGCTACAAGTTTATACCTTTGTTATTGATTTGGTTTATAAAATTATCAAAAACATTGACAATTTTCTAGCATTATTAACCACACACAAATTAACTTAGTTACAGTCATAGATTTTACTAATTTAATTAGTTACTCTCAGTTGTTTAAGTTTGCTGTTTGTTTTTAAATAAGTATGTTGTGTATTGTATTTATAATTGTATAAAATAGCATTTTTTCTGTACCAAGACATGTACATATTTAAGACCTATCACTAATTAACCTGACTATAATATTGAACCCTTTTTTGTACATATACTTTACATTTTTCCCCTTTTTCTTGGCCGGCGATCGCAAGTTATTCAAGCTGAGCCGCGAGGCATTCAGAATCAATTCATCGAAGCTCTTTGATAGTTTCATTTTGTCAGCCGATTCCGCCGTGATCTCCAGATAGATATATGTGTATATTTTCTTTATTACTAATATCTCTTATGCTGGTAAATTGAACTTTTCTGGGGGTGAGGCACGGGTACGTGCGTCAAGCGTCATTTATCAGCAATGTAAACATGGAAATTCTTCGGCACAGAGATCACATTTACACACTCTCACTGAATTTTAATTAAGCGAATGGCATAGCCCATACTTCTTAATTATATTTCACTTCAATATCAATTTTTTTTTTTTTGCAGAGTTATTTCCACTCTTATTTTTTTGCGTATTTTTCCTTCACTGCCAATTAGTTGACAAATTAATTCGTGTGTTTACAAAGATATAGTAGATAGATAGATACTGCTGCGGAGAGGCGATGCAGCACAACCGGCCGCCTTAGACGCTCGGCGACGTCTGACAAGGCGAGGCGAGGCGCGGCGGGCTTATCAAGCAACCATTTGGCTTGGACAGTGCGAAAATGAAGTTTACACGCGAACTGGAGGCGAGCATCGCTTTTCTGCCTGATTACCGCAACATCTGCGGGCTTTGTTTGAACATGGAAATGCGCCTGTTTCGTGCCGCAAATAATATATATAGTAATTGGCCAAAACAAAACAAAACGAAAAAACCAAAACTGGGAAACTTGTTTGACGATTTTTGGTGCTGGCCAACGCTCCTGCCGCCACGAGCGTTGCACAAAGACTGAATTTGACCAGGTTTTGTGGTCACAACATCGCCGTTGTCTGGTTGTTATTTTTGCACTGGCTTTTGCGCAAAGAGTTTCACTTGAATTTATGCTTAGAAGAAGGCCGGCTGAAGTGTAATTAATTGCCAAACCCTCTAACCTTATGGCTTCCATTAGGGGTTATTAGAAAAAAAGGGACATTAATTAATATGTCACAGAGTATATCAGTTACTAGATAATAATGCCACACTTCTGCTTTGGAAGATTATGTTATTCGTAGGACACTGGACACTGACTAAAGGCTATCGATAAGTTAGAGACATTCTGATGAGCGATTGCCAATTTGTAAGTTTCAAGTGCCCTGCAATTGAGTCGCACTCGCACGTCACTTGACTTAATGCTTAATGGGGCTCTCCAGCGGCAGTAATGGGTTAAGTTATGCCTAGTCAGACCTTAACACAGCAGCAGTAATATAAATAGTTGTTGGGTTTTTCAATAAACTACAAGAAGTTCATTCATAGAGTAAATCAATACTGGTTATTTGTCAACAACACCTAGCTTTATGGTATTAATTGCAATACCAATCAATTGAAGCCTTAGTAAATTGTTAATGAATCACACATTTAAATGCAGAAAAACATAATGACTCTGCAGTTTACAAAGCAAATGATAGATGAGGAAACTAATTGTAGAGATTTTATACAAGATGTTGTAAATATAAATAGATATAATCACAATTTATAATCAATACAACTAGTTTTAGACAATCTTTTGATTTATTCTAACTTGAAGGACTTCGTTAATATCATATATCTTTGTTGATTTATATTTAAATATATATTTTTGAAATGGTTTTGAATTTCCTGTATTTATTTCCTTTCCTTTCTTGGGTTTATTTCCTTTTCAAAATCAGGGGAATTTTTTGTATAATTTTAAAACGTAACCCAATGACACAATTTTAAAGCTTAACCTTTGCATATAGCCCGGGGAAAAACCTCAGACTTCTTCAGAATCGCCTTTAACTGTACATAATTTCTTTGTTCATTTCACCAAGAGGAAAACACGTTTTATAAATCAACCATATGTTTCGATCAGCAAAAAAAACAAAGAAGATATGTTCAGTTTTAAAATGTATAAAACGTGTTATGACCGTTTAAGAACCGAACAAAGAACGAATTCTTGTATTAACGCTTTCCAATGGCCTAAAAACATGTTTTTTAAATATTAGTCTCGACTTTTACTGCCACTAAAGTAAGGTCTTGAGAAGAGTTAAGAAGGCTTGGCATTGCGGAATGGGAAACAGGATAACAGAAATCTTATACTTTCATGTAATTAAGTTATTATTAAACAAAATAATCATTCTAAATTAGATTCTATAGTTTGGTTATAAATACTATATCCCTATGGAGATTAATTCAATTTCTTTATATTAAATCCTTATTATTTGTTATTTGCTTCTCCCTCAATATTATTACAGAGGTCCTGAACCTTGTGTACTGGTATTATTTGATATCCTTTTTCAACAATGTAATGTATTTTTAGACCCTAGTTCTATTCCCCCGACTGTTGTGCACTCAAGTTAAGTAAAAAATAGCTCTTGGGTGTGCACGAGCAGAGTATACATATATATATAGAGCTAAGAAAAGACCATTCTTGGTGGCATTAGTGGCATGGAGCAAAGCAGTTAACCAAAGTCTGAAGAACCAAGAAGCGACCGCAACTAGAATGTTTATTTTTAGATCCAGTGCACGCGACCCATACAGGTTTTCACCTGGATGTGGCAGGGTGCAGTTGTGTGTACAGTGTGTGTGTGCGGTGTGTGTGCGGTGTGTGTCTAGTGTCTCTAGTGCAGTCTATGTACACGGGGTTAGGCCAATCTCGGGGGTTAGGGTTTCAACAACAAAGCGGCAGCAACACAGGGTTACAACACCAACACAGGGGAGAGAGAGGGTAAGAGAGAGCGGAAGAGAGGTCCGAGCGGAAAGGTGGTGGCATTTACATGGACATGGATGTGGGAGAAGCGACGCAG